CTAAATCTGCCCCGTAGCCTCTGGGGCCGCGGAGGGGGCCCTATGGCCCGGTCCGCTTCTCTGTTTGTGACTGCAACGTAACTTAAACCGGCGTGAGCTGCCGGGGCAAGCTTGCTCTGGCCTCTGCCCTGCTGGTGGCGAAAACATCAAATCTCGTTTGTATGCCTGGTCAACTCCGGTGGCTCTGTTAGGCGTGCGTGCGATTACTTGTTTGACGTGGAGGGGGCCCAACTTGGGAAGAGGGTCTTGGATGGCACGACGCTGCGCATCTCGCCGCCAAGTCACCGCCCTCGGGTCACAGGCACGAGCAGCCCCCCCTTCGCACCCCAGACCCCCCCTTTTAAGTTGTATGCGGCTTCGGGCGCCTGGCGCGGCGGCGCCTCCTGACCTGACCTCCCCCGCGAAACCACTCTCTGGCCTGGCCATCCTGCGCTGGCCCTCGCCGCCGGACATGGCCTGCCTCAGAAACTCACTCCTTGAACTCAGCTGGTTCATGTTCTGCTGTGCTCTATGCGCGCGCGTCGCGCTGTGTCGCGATTCCACTGTGAAACTAAAAGAACTCCGAATCCGCAGCCTGGTCAAGGTTCGCAAGTCCCCCCCTCCGCACCCTCCAGAGGCGAGTCGACAGAGGCATAAGGGAAGGGGCGGGTAGGTGACTGGCAAGTTCCTTGATCCTGGCCATCAGCGATTCGAATAGATTCTCTCTCCTTGGCACGCAACTGCTTAGCTCATCCAAGAGGAGAGCAACCGTCGCCCAGCAATGAGCAACTGGAAATGATGCCGAGACAAGGGCGGCGCCCTGGGCTTCTGGCGTAAACGCAAACTTCCCGGCCAATCCCCCGCCGCGAAACTCCGTGCGCTTCTGGGGGAGAACTGAATGCACAAGGATGAACAACTCCTCCATGATGGAGATCCAGCGCTCAAATTCGGCGCCACTCTCTGAGGCCCCGCGATCGTCAACCTGAAACGCTTGCGACTCCCTGGTGTAGTCTGGGGGCTGCGCATCCCTACTTCCAGGTTTGGCTGCAAGTCTGCCGCGCCACAACTCATTTAGCTGGTATGGCGTAAGCCCATGGTGTGAACGCTTCGAAACGCTACTCTCACTACTAGGCTGGGGTCCCCGAGGATCTGCCGCAACGCCCTCCCCCCGAACACCCCCAAGGCCCTTCCTGGCGCAGATCCAAAGGCAGAGGTGCCCCAGCACTGGGGGCCCCTTGCAAGACGTCCTACGCCTACGTCGCTCAGCATGAGCGGGCTTACGATGTCTGGCGTTTTGCAAATCATTCCGGGGGTGGGCCTTCTCGGCCGCTTTCCTGGATCGCTCGCCGCTTGGGCCCCCGCGCTTCTGGGCATGCGGGGCTGAGTGAAAAGTCTGGGCACCTGCAAAACTCTGCGCAAAGCCTCCGCCATGCTGAGCTTGAGTTTGACCTTCAGACCGCAGTGCCCCCCCCCCCCCCCCCTCCCCCGAAAACTGGGCAAGGATCCGCTACTTCTTCTGGAATCAAGCGCCCCGCCGACTTCGAGGGCACTAAAGAACTGATCATTCGACGCGGCTTCACTGCGCGCGCATATGTAACATTGTGCGCAACGCGACTCTCGCCTGAAACAAGATGCGACCATCCGCTCACCTCGAGCTCCTCTGGCTCGCAGGTCTAACCACCCATCGCAATCCGCGGGGCGCGCAATGACTGCAGCCGCGCCCCCATGCGGGCCAAAACGTGAGAGTTCACTGGCCTGCGACCGATGCCCGCGGTGAGATATATGCCCAACACGCTGAGCGTCTGGCCTGCCATCTTCGCCTGGAACCCTGCAGAATCGAGGAAGCCCACTCCGCCGTCTACTATATTCTGAGACTTGTTCAAATCACGGAGCCCAAGCGTGGCCTGCGGATCTCGCGCCACATGCCTGAACGACTCGAACTGATACATCTTCTTGCAGCCTGCTGCTGCATCTCCTGGTCTGCCATTCTTCTTGCTGGCTCTGCTTAGCGCCAACGCTGGTTTAATTTCTGCATGCGCCCGCGCCGCCAGGTGCTCAGTTGCTTCGTCTGGGCGAGCGTGGACTTCAAGTAACACGTAGAAATCATGCTGCTTTACCTTCAAGAGGTCCTTCGCTGTCGGGCCAAACTTGGACAAGTTGCGCATGTGCAGCGCATATCCCGTGCCCTCGCTGGTGTCCCTCTGGCTAGGGACGCCGCTGTACTGCGCGTCGTAGTCGGCTGATCTCCTGCTCCGCTTCCTCCTGCATCGTCTGCTTCTTGGCCTCGACCTCTGCTGCTGGGGCGGCCTGCTGGCTCGCGGGGCCCCTGGGCCCCCGGCGATAGCGGCGCCCCCCCCCGCCCCCGCCCGCGGCGGCGGGCGCTCGACCCCCCGCGGAGGCGGCGCTCGCCGGTGGGGGAGCGGCGGCATCAGCGGCTCCACTCCCAGCAGCTGGTCTCTGGCCAGCAGGAGGTGCAGGCGCATCATCACCATGATTAGTCTTGCGCTTCGGCGCACTCCCGGCCGCTGCCCCTGCCGTCTTCCTGGACAGCCTCAAGTTGGGCCTTGCGGCCTCCAATGGCTTCGCGCGCCCATCTCTGCAGCAGTTCATTGCCCGCGGCCGATCGCCCCTCGACAATGACTTTGTACTTAAGTCCATCGAGCAACTTGCCGATAGAGAACTGCAGCTTGACTCCCTCCTCGATTGCCTGGCCAACGTCGAAGACTGGCGCGTGCCTTCCATATTCTTCCTCTGCTGGAATTTCTCCTCCCCTGCCTGAGCGAGCTCAGCCGTTGCTGCCTGCAGCGCCTCCGGCGCCTGCGCGTGCCCCATATTTCTCCGTGCCCAGAGCGCGCGCGCTTTCTTCAGAGCCTTTGTCGCTCTGCCCACGCGAGTGCTTGCCTTCTGCAACTGCTCCGCTGGGCGCGCTGCTTGGATATCGGGGCGCCGGGCTTCCACCGCCTGAAGCAGCTCCTGGGCATTATTGCTGGCGCTCGGGCCCTTGTTGCCTCCCATGGCCGCACGCAGAGCAGCCTGGAGGTAGGGGCCCTTGTCCTGCAGGGAGCTGCCATTCGTGATCCTCTGCTGACCGCGCCATCCGCCCCCCCCCCCCCCCCCCCCCCCGACCGGGGGCGGCCTGGCGTCGCTCCGCAGAGGCCTGTGTGGTCCACCTTCTCGAGTCCGTCATGATGCACGAAGCGTGGGCACTCCGTGCAATGGACCTTCAAGCGAAATGGCCGACGGCTTGCGCGGGGTACAATGATGCCGCCACCTTGGCCGACGCGTCTGCCCACGCGTTGCCTCGCGCCAAATAACGGCCCCAAACGTCAGTGGCCTGATCCGCGTCGAGATGAGCTCGAGCCTTGATTAACTGCGTTGAGCCCCGCGACCCGAACACGCGGCGGGATCTGAATCGGGTGAGGCCACAAGGCCCCCCCGTGGCCTTCGGACAAGCTTCGGGGCATAGACGTGACGCAGCCTCGGCGCCCGCCTGGGAGCCTGGGGCCCGCCGCGCCAGGACCCCCATCCTCACGGAGGTGGCCGAAAACACTTTCCCGTGGCGCGACAGCATCCTCGGGGAGCAGGGCAACCACGCAGAATTCATCAAGTCGGAGACGGGCGTGTGCATGAGGCTCGCCGACGGCCGCGACGAGATCCCCACGCTGCTTCTCGCGGCCCCGCCTGCGGCAGGCGCAGTCGGCCTCGCCGCTGCGGCGCAGATGTGCGCGGAAGTCCTGCTTGACCTCCATGCGGATGCCGCGGTCGACGACAACAGCTTCGAGGATGCGGCGGCAACGTGCGAGGCCTTCCTCGCGCATATCTCAGCGGACGCAGCGGCGCGGAGGCCAGAGTCTCCACCCGCGACCAAGGGCGCGCTGGCGCAAAGTTGGCATGAAGAGATCGGGAAAAAGCTGGGGGAGGTAACGAAGCCACCCGAGGAACACACGAATGCGGAAGAGGACGCTGCCATGATAGCCATGCCCGCCAACCACGAGAGGGAGCATCTCGCCACAGCGCTCTGCGAGTACAGCGACGACGACAAGACAACATGGCCACCTCATACTCGGGCTGAACGGGCTCACGGAGCGTGAACAGGCACAGCTAAAAGGTGCACGCCTGGGCAGCGACTCTACGTGAACCGCCACAAGGAAGAGTACCCCGCCATGGAGCTTGGCACCAGACCGTGGCACTATGCGATCGTTGACACAATGGCCCAACCCGCCAGCTGCGGGACAACAGCACGCTGAATGTCGCGTTGCCGCAACCCGGCCCAGCCGCAGGACAGGCGCGCAGCCGTCGACACGATGCGGCGGTCGCGGCGCGGCAGCCCCCAGCGGCGGCCGAGTGGCCACCCACAGGTTCTGCCCGCGCCCTGTGGTCGCAGCCTTTGGTGGGGGCTGCGTGGCCCAGCCCGCACGGCCTCGGGGGAGGAGGGATGCCCCCACCTCCCCGAGCTGCCCCTGGCCCCGGGAAGGACGGGTGGCCCCCGCCTCCCAGAGGGTGCTGCCCTTGCTGCTGCCGGCCCTTCCTTCTCGGTGTTTTTCATGAGGCGGGGGTCGGCGGGGTGCTGTCGCCTCGACTCGCTCGTCGTGGAGCGCGGGCGCGCGCCGAGGGACACTGCGAGGATCTTCCTCCATTGAGTGGACGCAGCAGCAGGAGGTTAAGAGGAGGAGGTTAGGAGGAGGAGGAGGAGGAGGAGGAGGAGGAGGAGGAGGAGGAGGACGAAGGAGGAGGACGAGGAGCATGAGGAGGAGGAGGAAGAGGAGGAGGGGGAAAAGGAGGAGGAGGAGGAGGAGGAGGAAGAGGAGGAAAAGGAGCATGAGGAGGAGCAGGAGGAGGAGGAGCAGAAGGAGGAGGAGGAGGAGGCGGAGGAGGACAAAAGCCACATGCACTCGCGTCATGTAGGTCCGCTCAGCGTCAAAAAGGTGGAGGAGAAGGAGGAGGGGGAGGACGACGACGAGGAGGCGGCGGAGGCTAGGTGGCGGCGTGGGGGACGGACGGGGGGCCCGTGCGCCGAGCGCCTGCGCCCCCCGGGCTTCGCAAAGGCCCACTGCACGGACAGCTTCTGCTCCAGGAGCACCTGCGGCCCGGCCGCGCCGCCCCCACCCCCGGGCAGAACCGTGGGCCCCGTGCGCGGGCTCTCCGCGCGCGGCCCCCCCGGGCGGCGCCCCTGCCGCGCGGAGGCCCGCCGAGCGCGCCGCCGCCGCGCGGGAGCGAGGCGTGCCGAGCGCGCGGACCACTGCGGCCCGAGTCGCTTGTCGCTTTCCAGGGCCAGAGCTGAACAGTGCTCTTCGTTGTCGTTTTGGCTTCGTGTTCCTTCGCCCTGCCTTCGTCCTGCCCTTGCTGCGGAACGAGAGCAACACGAGCACGGTCCGTCCCATGGCACGTGGAGGGCCCTCGAGGCCCAGGAGACTGCCCACACCCTCCGGGGCCCAGTTCCCTCAGGGCCCCCTTCCTCCATGGCGTTCCCTGGCTGGGTCTCCGCCCAGCATTGGTCCCTGGATCCCTGCACGCCTCGGCCAGAGGCGACGCGGAGCGCGGCACGGACAGGGGAACCACCCCCTGCGCACCCCCGCTGGCCCAAACCTCCAACGTCGCGAGAAGCTCAAGGCGGATGGCGTTCGCAGTTCTCGGCCTCTTGGGGGCCCTCGCCGGGCCCAAGGACCGTGAAACACAGGCGAGGACGAAGGTTGGAACTCCGCAGTGAGACACTCAAGACTGATGGACAACGATATGGGGGGACTGGTATAGGGGGGGACGCATCGACCCGGACTCGGCAATACATCGCCGACAGATCGGCGATGGGCCCCCGATGGTAAATCCTCACCTTCCTGGGCGGGTTGGGGCTATCGGGCCTCTATTGGCGACCAGGGGGCCGATGCATCCCCCCTCTATGCCTATCCCCGCCCCTTCGCTGGCCCTGAAAGACATGGGATTCCTGGGATACCTCCGCGCACCGATTCTGCTCGTGTCGAAGAGATGCCACGCCTCCGAGGGCCCTCGCTAGGCCCCAGGACCGTGAAAAACCAGCGAGGACGAAGGCTGGAACTCCGTAGAGAGACACTCACGACACATCGGATGCCTGGGATACCCCCGCGCACCCCCCTGGTGTCGAGGAGATAGCTCTCCTGCCGCGCCCTGCGGGGCGGGGGCCGCCCCTGCGACGGGCAGGCCGGGGGCCGGTCGCGGGCTGGAGCAGGCTCGAGGGGCCACGGCTATCCACCTGCACCGGTCCTGGCCGGGCCAACGTCGGGCCTGGGATCGGCCTCGCGTGCCTCCCTGGCCAAGCCAGGTCTTCGGGTCCGGGATCGGCCTCGAGTGCCTCCCTGGCCAGGGCAGGAGGCTTCTGTGCCGTCCTGGGCACAGGCTGGGCGTGTTCGGCAGCGGTGCACCCCCCGAGCTATGGGGTTGAAGGGGGTCGCACCGCATCGCCCGAGCATCGGCGACGCGGCGCGATCCAGAGCCCAACGGTTTCCCTCCCGGCGTCGCCAGGGGTGCGATCCTTCGGCCCCATCTGCTCCAGCGCCGTGTGGGCGGCTTCCAGGCAAGTATCTCGAGACGAGGGCAAGGTACTGGCAGGTCGTGGGGGGATCTGTAAGAGGTGACGAGTCTGGAGGATGTATCGGGCGCAGCGGCCTTCCCAGGGCGCTCTTAGAGAAGGCTCTGTGACAAGTCAAGGACGAGAGTGGTGTCATGATGCGATTGGCTCAGGATGCGTTCAAGGAATTTCGGGAGCATCTAGCAGCCCCCGTTTCTGGAGCCTGTGCAGAACAATCGGAAATCGAAGAGTTCGTGAACATCGATTCATCTTCTCTAACGTATAAGTAAACTGCAAGCTGAGGCATCGGCAGCAGAGTCAACAGCAGTGGGGCAGGAGGATAAGGAAGAGAAGGAGGAGGTGTCGGCGGAGGAAGAAGAAGAGGGGTATGCCGCATGTACCATTCCAGAGCGCTCTTCCTGAGGCCTCGTCCTCATACCTGGAAAGAGGAATCACTTGTTCCAGAGCATTCTGGAACGAATAGTCTGCATCCTGAGGCTGCCTGAAAACCCACTCTCCTCGTCCCCACAATTGCTCTCTACGCCACTCGCTCTCCATGCCCCTCCTGCATGCGCTGTCGTCGTCGTCGTCGTCGTCGTCGTGTTCTTCCTCCATCCTCTTCCTCCCTGCTCTCTCCTCCTGCGCCTCCGCCTCCTCCTCCCCAGACCCCCTCGCGTCACGAAGCAATCGCCAGCTATGTGTTTTGCTGTTTTCCGCCTCTGGGGATTCTCGCCGGGCCCCAGAATCGTCAAAACACTATTCGGGACGAAACGCTGGTCCCAGGGAATGGGTCGAGCCCTCTGGGGGTTGACGCTGCGACAGAAATCATGACGTCGGGGGATCAGGGTCTCCCTTCCTTCGTCGTCCTCTCCCCCCTTCTCCGCCCTCTCTCCCCAATTCCGAGCAGCGTGTCACTATCTTCTGCGCCTAACGCTGTCGCACCATCAACTACAAATCACGAGGGGACTACCGTTTTAAATTGCCCTGGGCCCAGGCCCTCTGGAAGCAAGGGCCGCAAAAAGGGCCCAGGCAAGGTGCCGGAACGGCTTAACTGAACCTTTATCAATGGAACCATCCAAGTCCGTCCCAGAAGCGTGCTATAGAATCGTTCGGGTCAGCCCACCGCCTCAAACATACTCCTGCGAACGTGGGAACCTTCGACGCGCCAATATTTGCCAAGCCACCCATTGGGTAATACAGTTGTCTTAAGTACTAGTGGAATCGAATGCAGCGGTTCCAACATCGGATCCGAACAATTGTTGTCGTGTTGGTGCTTGGTTGGGGTTCCGCGCAAAAGATAACTAACCACAGCATGCGCAGAGTCTGATCACTCCCCGTGCAGAACACGACAAACATCATCGTATCTTGGCCTTCTTGCAACTGCAACCGCATGCCAGTCCCGCAAGATTCCCTTCTCTCCTCTCCCGCCCCCCCTCCCCTCGATTCCCCTCTCCACCTCCCTCCACTTGCCCGAATCACCCCCTCCCCTTGGTCACCCTTCCCCCCCCCTCTCGTTCCGTCTCGTTTCTTTCCAAGCTCCCCCTCCCCACGATCCCACACGGTGCCGTAGGCACTGCCTCTCCTCCTCGTCCTGTTCGGGCGGGTTGTGATGGGGGGGGGTGACCTTACTTGCGGGCGGAGGACAGGGCCCTGAACGGGGTACTTTCGGACCCCGTTTGGAGCCAGCAGGGGCCCAAAAGGGGCCCTGAAGTGTCTCGTTCGGGCCCTTTTCTTCACCCTCCACCCAAGCCGCCCACCATTACCACCCGCCCGACCTGTTCGACCTCCCTTGCCTCTCCCGTGCCGTTGCTGTCGTCGCCCACGCCCTCTTCCACCGCCTCCGCGTCCTCGTTCCGCCTGCTGCCTCTTCTCCTGTTCCTCCTCGACCTCGTCCTGTTCGACCTCCCCTGCCTCTCCCGTGTCGTTGCCGTCGCCGCCCACGCCCTCTTCCACCGCCTCCGCGTCCTCGTTCCGCCTGCTGCCCTCCCTCCTCCCCCACTCCCCTTCCTCTCCACTTGGCCTTGGCGGCGCGCAGGGGAATGGGGGGGGGGGGGTAGGAGGAGGAGGAAGAGGAGGTGGAGGAGGCAGGAGGAAAAGGAGGAGGAGGAGGAGGAGGAGGAGGAGGAGGAGGAGCGAGGAGGAAAACGAGCGAGGAGCGAGGAGAGAGGAGGAGGAGGAGGCAGGATGATGATGATGATGATGATGATGATGATGATGATGATGATGATGATGATGATGATGGCAAGGAGGATGATGAGGCTCTGGAGACTCTGGATGACGACGAGGTGCCGAGAACGATGCACCAGGCCAAAAAGCAATACTCATAATCCCGTCGAACGCTCAACGGACGACTCAAGCGAAAATAGGAACAAACCTGTTGAAGCCATTACCGACCTTCTCTCCAGAAGGGCCCCGCCCCTGGGTGAGGTACCTTCTCTCGAAGTGCCTCGCAGACCCCAGGGGCGGTCTCCCCAAACACGGTTTGGAAATCAAAAACGCCCTAGACACACATCTGGCGGCGCATTCAAAACACCAAACCATTGGACCAGTGCGCCATAGCTTATGGGACGGGTGCGCTTCTCGGACCCCTTTGGGGCCCCCCCAGACTCGGAAGGCGCGCGAGGTCTCCACGACGAGCACGACTATCTCCGCACCTCCCGCACACCCATCGTCCCTTAAACCTGTGAATTACATGGCCTCCATCCTCGCGTAGGACGACATGAGGCCCGCGCGCGGGTCGTCCTTCAATCACTTGCAGGACGTCCTTCCAGCCGCCTTTTTGACACAGTCGCAGAATGCGCAACACACATTTTAAAGTCAAAGGTGCAGCCGCCTCGCGCATCTTCCGCAATTTCTCATTGGACTTCTCGCGGGGATGGCAGTCGGCGCCCAGTCTTGCAAAATAATCTGCGCTCTTGTTACCTGTCCAGTATGGCAAGCAGACTCCTTGGTCGATGGCCCTGGTTCTTGCCATCAGCGAAGGAATCCAAACAACATCAATCTCTGCAGCTCCAATGTCTAATGCGACTTGCCAGAAATCTCTCCATATCTCCATGTACTGATGGCCAGCATTGCACCCATACGGATAATCATGCGCCCATCCCTTCTTGAGATCTTCGTTGTCGGTTACAATCGTGATGTGCCCAGCGGACTTGTGCTTCAAAGCTTTGGTGGCCGCCCAGATCTCGCCTGCTCCAGATGTCTGCCATGGATAAGGTACTGGTCCAGATGCAGCCGCCACTGTAGCTCCTGCCTCATCAATCATCACAAACGCCCATCCCGCTCTAGCTCGAACCTCCCAATGGGGAATATACAGCTGCCATCTGTGCACACCACACCGCTGATTAGCCCACTGACCGTACACTTGTGCCAATTGATAATGTCATCGAAGGTCGGCAAACTCGCATAGAAAGTCGGATCTGGCATGAGCCCTTTGGTAGTCATCATCGTGATGGGATGCCCTTGCCCATGCTCTGTACTTCCCCACGTCAGCAGAGCACGCTCCTCACCAGTCCAACTGTATCGCTCCAGCGCGTGCCAGG